AGTCAAACTTTCATCCCAAAAGGGAAGTTAATCAACGCTGAAAAAGTGAGGATCACCGTATAGCTGTTTCATCCTTATTGAGAATCATCATGAGCGTTCATCCTACGAACCTCTAGTAAGATTCGAACCCGCAATCTCCTGGCTGGTGGTTTAAGGAGAAACCGTTCGCCAATTGGCGTCTGATCTGTAGTGTGATCAGCTAGCACTTAAACACGATACAGCGTCACTTATCCCTCAGTCATGGAACTCGTAGTTATTGATTGACACCCAGTTTGATGACTTTTCAGATGGAAGATTAACGTGGCTTTTGGATTATACCTGTCTCTGAGTTTCATTTAAATGGGAATGAAATACGTAGTTTGTCTGTGCTGGTATTCATCATCTGTAGGACGGACGCTCTCTGGAACTCACAGCCCTCGAAATAACAGGTTAATTTATCCTCTTCGATGAGTCCACCTAACAAACGTGTACGGCAAGTCCGGGTTATGCTTGTGTGCATTGTTGCTGATGCTGAGTGTCGAAGAGGTTTTAGTGACCTAATGAGTAGGTTCATTCATGAATGAATCTTCTTCTACGCAGCGCTGTATCGGCGTTTAATTGACATTGTTTTCCCTGAACTTCTGCGTCGCCAGAACAGTTAAGCTTTCTGAACCATAGGGTGAAACAACCAATTATTTGACCTACTGTAATGTAAAGCGATCACGAGGAAAATTATAGGACAGAAAAGCCTGTTTACTGTGAATCTATCGCTGCTTTGAAACCAAAGCTGGTAGTCAACATAACAGGGGTTGAACTGGTAACGAACATCACATATTAAAAAAATGGCTGTGTAACCCGAAGTGAACCACCATGCAACAACCGGATTTGTTAAACAAACCTCACGTTCACCACAGGAGAGCATTCGAGGTCCCAAGTTTTTCACGGTGTCTTGAATAATAATTTAAAAAATGAACAAGAAAGTGGAATAAAAACAAACGTGTGCGTCGAATGAGGCTGAAAGATAAAGAATGTGGAGCTGGGTCAAATATATATACATTTATATACGTATAATGTACGTAATGTAATACATATACTAGCTTCTGTATAACTAACTGAAGAAGTGACCACTATTGTACCTTTTTACTATACCCGACCTATTTTCTTGCCATCTGTTGTGAATGAATGAGGATATTTTCCAGTGTTGTACGTTACTGTTACTCATTTATATTTCCGGATGAGTAATAGAGTATATATATATATATGGACACATGAGGCGCTTTACATACATATTATATATATATATATATATATATGCTGTAAATTGTAATCTACCATCTCAACCCACGTACTTTTGTGATAAGAGTAGTAAGGCTCAGGTTACTCTTTTCAAGGCCCATGCTTGCTTTGCACTCAGCTTGATCCTATATGCTGAATATGAAAACTGACCAGTCCAATAACGAGAATGGATTCGATTTTGTAGCTCAACCCCCTCCTGTTGATCTATTTTCAACGGACAAACCCATGGAGTCAAACCTAACCGAATTCCGTCGAAACAACTAAACTCAATGAACCGAAGTCAGCCCTTCACTTCGTTAAACATTCCGTTTGTGACTACACTGAATGGTGCAGGAATTTGATTTCTGTCATAAATATTCCACAGGAAATCTGTGTTCGCCCCAAAGAGTGTGGGTCATGCGCTTGATACCTGTTTACCTGCAAGAAAGAGAATGAACAGAATGTCGATCAGTTTGTGCAAAACTTGAAATCTCTTGCAAAAGTCTAGCATCCAAGTGGTCTCGATCTTGGATATGCCAATGAATTTATAAGGGACGCCTAACTTGCTGACCTTTAGTCTGATGTTATTCGAAAGGACCACGCTGCACAACGCAATCTGACTGATGGTTAAGAACACAAGGTCGTTATAGCTCTAGAACCCGCTCATACACTATCATAGACGTTCACAAGAGAACGGTCCTTTTCTTATTCTACTGCTTCGTCAAATTATAAACATCATAAACGAGGATTCAGCTGGGTTAATCATAAACAAACGAGGATTCAGCTGGGTTTCAGGTGAGTCTCTCCCAAAAAAAAACAAATTTGTTTGTAACAAGGTGTATTTCAATAAAATAAAATACATTTAACATCGCTACGGGCAACTCTTTCCATCCATAACCTGACTAAGGCGTTTACGTGCCAATTTTGTTGTTTTTGTGACAGCATTCTTGACGCAAAATTAGTTTTAGAAAAAGCTCACAGAAATACGAATCGTTTTCGACGTATCTTCAAAGTAAAATCTACAAAGTTTCCCAATGAATCCACCTTTAATCCGCTTTCCTCCAAGTTGTTCGTTTCTCCTTTTAACAATCTGCCTCGAAATGCAACAGATATTGTAGTAAGCGGGGTGCTTCTCAGAGTTCTAATCGACACCATCAATTCGTGTAGCCACACTTCTAAATGAGGCGTGCAAACATACGAGTGAAAACCCCATGCAAACGCTTTTATGATTGCCACAATGTCCACTTCACTTCCTTGTTCTACCGCCTAATGCTGTTGTGTCACCAGTGAGTACAAAGATACACCGTAGGAATCATTTCAACCATCACTTTTACCCAACGTGCGCGCAAATACTCCACTCGGACATGATTTCTCGAGGTTTCATAAAAACTCCATTGGATAGCCATTGGGGTACTTTTATCCGTTGTGGTCTATGGGCATATGCGCTATTCGCTGACTTATTTCTAGACTGCTCACTTATTAATGATTCATACTACCTGAAGTAGTCCAGAGTGAGAATTTTCGAAATCTCAATCTGTCTTTGGAGGAATCCAGTACTCGTGAAGACGAACTCCGCCCAAGAAAGGCGGATAGTCATTGACTATTGTCAAAAAATCAGTTGATTCATCTGCTTAGATGCGTATCCTCAAATTCGACTCGACAGGATGTCTGGAAGCATATTTCGGAATGTAGCAAAGAAGGAATAGTCGTGCAATGTCTTCGAAGCTTGCGGTAGACTGTTTTAGTTTTGTCGTACCTCGTTTGGTGTGTCCAGCTGGGTTGTCCGCCTTAACTTACACTAGGACACCTGACCCCTTTACAGTGTTTGGCCGAATCGAAGTTAAGACTAAGCGTCATCGTCAACCAGTTCTGAGTGATTGGACAAAATATGGCAAAAGCCACTGTCACACAGAGAATGTCCTATTTACCAGTTGGCACCTCCGTGTGACGCAATATCGAGAGATGCCAAAGTCTCCCTACTATTCACAAGAGATTTCATCATTTTCTGACAAAATCGATTTGTTTGTCAAGAATAAGATCTTTTCAGGCCCGCTTTGTTTTGGATTCGGACGTGTGCCGGTAGAACAGACTTGAGGTCAGAAGCGGTAACAAGCGTATTTCAAAGAACTGCAAGTGCTAACCTCCTTCAAGCAACACATCATAACTGTCACACACATAACTGCAACAGAGGATAATTCCATCTCTTTGACAAAAAAATGGTGAAAGCCGAATCCCTCGATAAAGCGTATGCGGCCTCATGGAGGCCCATTTTGACCTGAATTGTATTTATCACAGTCTCTTGACATCCACTATATTTGTCTATATTTACTGCGGGAAACATATGATGTGGAATGAAGCCTTCGCGCGCCTTAGGTCTGAATTAACCAGTGGTGTTCGCATGCCAGGATCCTGTACATATATTCTGCATACATTCTTCATGCATTCTGCAGAACAACGTTACAGATTTGTCTGTTGTTAGCCCAAGTCTACCTAAGCTCTGGTGACAAAGTGACAAGACAGGGAACGAAACTTACGGTTCACGTCACATGCTGACCGCCTCACAGTCGAAACCTTCACTGCAAACTGTAGGATAGTACATATTACATCATATCATTATCACCGACGAACAGCTTGTGCTTCTAAGTAGCCGCGTAAAAACCTGTGCGTACATGGCCGCAAGGCCTAAAAACGGAATCAAGAACGGATAAAATCCGGAGTCAGTTTTTGTAATTTGGTGGACATTGGGAAAAAAAGATGTCCTCGACCGCACGGGTTGTTTGAAAAGCCAATGACAATCAGTTGCCGTTGGTTGGCCATCTGGTGCATCAGCGGATGGACTGCTTGCTGATGGGTAAAACACCACATGCTGAAATACGAAACGAAACAGCAAAGAGCTATGGAGAAAATTACTCACAAGGTTGTTGAAAACTCTTCGACAGCCCAAAACCGGGCTCGCCCCTCTTGGGGCCCATCAGGTAGGCGCAGTCCTCGAATTTCCTACTTGAAGCAAAATTGGACTGTTTTCGAGAAATACGCTCATTTGCAAATCAATTTGGTTTTCACAAGAGACTCAACTGAATCTCTCGTCTATGCTACTCTCCAAGTAGAACACAAGGTTTGCGGAAACTCGCCAAGTAGAATACAAGGTTTGCGGAAACTCGAGGACTGTGCCTACCTGATGAGCCCCAAGAAGGGCGAAGAGATTTCAGCAAACTTTTGAATAGTTTCCTTCATTAAAATATACTGCGATGTCTCGAATATCGTGCCAACTGAAACATGAGGCCGCCTGAGTGCAGCACATTCAGTGGAAGAACATCATAAACGTGGGATTCGGTGGAGTCTCTCGTGAAAAGCCAAGTAAAGAACTATGTTTAGGACCGGATAGTCTTTCCTCAGTAGCTTAGCAAGGATGGGTTTGTCGAGGCAGTTAGCGTCCGGGAAAGCGAGAATTTTATGAAAAGGGCCCTTGAAAACGCTGTCTTTAGGGCAGCCTGACGCTACGCAGAGACATATGAGATAAGGATGGTCTACGGAAATTGACCCAATCAGCACCCGGAAATAGCACGGCCCGCCCAGAATTTGGTCGTCCTCCCAGTTAGTTTGATCGATTGGCCTTACCCATTGAAATCTGATTGGCCAAGAGTTATCGCTGTGAGGGCAGACAGCAACGCTACGCGTATTTTGATTGGTTAATGATAGAAGGTAACACAGTGACATTCGCAGCGAGCGCACTCGCCGTCCAGGTTCGGCGTTCTCGCCGTCTCGGTTTACGTCCAGGTAAGTGGTCGATCCACGTGCAGCGCCTGAACTCAGATTTTTTCGCACCTAATTACGGAACATAGCCCCTGAAGTTTTACTTCAATCCTCTTTGTGTTCTTTTGTTTACCAAACGAGGAGAGGATATTGACTTTTGCAACACAGTCATGGTACAGTTATGATTGAGTATCCAGAAAGCACTACTGCTGCTTCAGCCACGTTCTAATTATGATCCTTATGGACGAAATGCGTTCAAGTTTGCGAACACATGGCTGACCTTGTACATTGTTTTTGACTGCCTCATTCCCCTGCAACTGCTTTCAACAGAGCTGTGCAGGCAAACACACAAAGAGGTGCGTTACTGAGCTGTAAGACACCACACCAATGCAGAAGGGATCTAGCATACGTGTAAGAGCGGATCCGTGTTTCGTTTTATTGAGTTCCAACATTAAAGGCAGCCAGGCTGATCGGCTTCTGTAGTCTGAAAATTTGATTCTGGATTTCAGACAGTAACCACAGGCGGGTATGCATATTATGTCGCTAAGGGTGACTCAAAGTGAACATAGTTGTCATCCTTAGTGATAGTTGACAGTAGGCACAATGTCAGGACGGCAGTATGGGGAGAGAAAACACCTGAAAGGGTAATAAGGGTGGCACCGTCCGTAGCATGTTCTTGTTCACCTGCTCCGTATATGCAACAGGTAAAGCGCTCCTGCTGATAGCACCGGTGTGCCTCGCTACGGCAAGATACTGTTTTCGCATACTACAAAAACTACAGAACAGCTTGCAGTGGGCGCCTCTGCCCGACGCACGAGACAAGGTATTCTTGTTTGAATGCTATGTTGACTACTGTTTAAAATGACCTGAAGCCCAGGTTTAATCTGTGACAGTTTCGGATGCACAAGGCGAGCAGATCTACGTACCAGGTGCCAAACCTTCGTCCCTTAACGATGCCGTCAGTTTTTGTCTATCACACCTTAGTGGGCGTCTAGACGGGCGAAGCGTAATTACGATGCCGTCAGTTTTTGTCTATCACGCCTTAGTGGGCGTCTAGACGGGCGAAGCGTTCAGGAAAATGCTTGGTTTGCCAAGTGCTGTCGAAACCTCTGTTTCGTCTTTCTCGTGAGGGTTGACACAAGTTTGAACTATAAGCAGGTGCGTATAGCGACTCAACCTGATAAACCAGAGAAAACGGTCGGTAAATCATGGCGGCGCAAATTTGCGGGTGGTGCATGGTGACTGAATCGTTAAACGGCTGACCACACGATCACCAAACCCGATTTGAAATGTGTAGAGTAGCATCCGAAGGGTTAACGGCAAATTATTGCGAGTTTGTGGCTTAGGTACATTCACCTGATGAGCAAAGCGAGTGACTCCAACGAACGAATGATACGGTGGGCGTTCAGCTGTAGCACCCCTTTCGGTGCCTAGCTGCCATGCCACCCGAAGGGAGCACGAGGGCTGGGATACTGTCAGGTTGCCCAAGCCTAGACAGGGGAAGTCGAGTGGTGGAGGTCAGATTCGAACCGCGGACCTTCCGGTGAGTAAATCCTCGCTCTAACCACTTGGGCCATCTCTCCCAAGTGTACATGAAAAAAAGGTTACCGGGATTTGTTGTCTAAACCTATAGTGAAAAATGGAGTCGGCATGGAGCTTGCGTTGCTCGCAAGTGGTAACATGCATTCCGCTATCTCTACCCGGGCCTGGATGGTCACGTCGTTGACTATCCAAGCATAGATTGCGTTGTGACGAATCATGTTCGTGTTATATGGTAGTGATGCTATGTTACGCGGCTTGCAGTCATAGCCAAGGTAGAGGGTGTGATGAACCGATCCCCCATCACTCATAAGTTACAAGAATATCTGGACTTGACCCTTGGTCGCGAAAAACTCCAGGAATTACGGCCAACGCAGTGGGTCAGTCTTAGTTGGTTGGCGAAGGTAATGAGTCGGAGCTCTCCGACGTGAGCTGCTTGAAAAGTATATTCCAACAGTGGTATTATGCAACCGCGCTTTTGAATACGCTACATGGGTTTAGAGCAACAGACGAAAATAGGATTTTGTTGACAGTACCTCTAAATTAAGCCACAAAGTTCTTATCAAGCGATGCATCCTCAGGGCGATGTCTGTCGCAGTGATTTATGCATTGAATTCTCATATAATATAGAACCCATTCAGAGAACTAGTAAGTCCTTCACGTGTCATCAGTACGTGCTAGAGTGCCCTTTGGGCTACTACCAAAGAATATCAGCTGGATTCAGATACAACATTTGGCTGGAAATATTCCGGATTTCCAAACGCGGTATAATAATTGGTAAAGCTGGTCTAGCAGAAATGTGTGTGCGTGTAGATTTCAACACTTATGACGTCTCTTCCAAAGGAACGTTTGCTTTCTAAAGCTACTGATGCTAAACTTAATCAGCAATTATAACGACCGGTGCAGTCGATTCTCCACGGAAATTTAGGCGACGTGTGGTGTCTGGGCTGTGGAACGATTGGCTGCAGTGGTCTATTCATCTGGGTTTTTTCCCGTCATGGTCTGGAATAAATCCATCACCCAATTTTTTAGCAGATGCCGCGGCCTGGGATGTTTTCCTGAAGGACTGTATCAAGCAGGACAGCTTTCCAATTTCACCGTTGTTTATAGGAGTTTTTATATTTTCCACGTTCCTCTCAGTAGTTGTTATAATCACAATTCGGTCTCTTGCGGAGGCGTGTGCGTGTGTGACAAACTGAGTTAGGACAATCTGTTGGACAGCAGTACTCAACTTGGGTCACCGGATATTGAACAGTCCGCTTTTCCGAAACGTTCACCAACTTGGTGCTAGCGTCATTAGCTATTGTCCGATGGTGGTCATTGTTCCCGAGTAAACGAATGCTAAGGTGCTTCGGGTGCGTTCGTTGTCATGTTTTTAATCTTGAATGGGCAGGCACGTTATCTAACCATCCCCAGCCATCTACTTCTGCCCCTGAATACAATCGGCAGTCCTCTGAAGAAATTCAGCGGCACTGTGGTTGGTTTTAATCAAGTTATTGAGTTGCTTTCCGGATGAATGATCGTTTGAGTGTTGGGAGCACGCATTGGAGATGAAAGCAAAAAAAAGAAAGCGTTCAGCTGTAGCACCCTTCCGATGCCTAGCTGCCATGCCACCCGAAGGAAGCACGAGAGCTGGGATACTGTCAGGTTGTCCAAGCCTGGACAGAGGAAGTCGAGAGGCGGTGGTCGGATTCGAACCACGGACCTTCCGATCAGTAAATTCGCGCTCTAACCACTTGGGCCAGCTCGCAGGTTCGAACCACGACCTTCCGATCAGTAAATTCGCGCTCTAACCACTTGGGCCAGCTCGCAGGTCCGGTTTGTGAAAACGAAGTTTAGTAGGATGTTCGCTGTTCCCACATCGTATGATGCGGGGCCTCCAGGAATGTGGTATGTAATATCCTGAGTTGGATCATCCCGAACTCTTGGATCATCGGCTATCATCAGGATATCGCGTCTCCGCACGTGGTTCATGACAGTCTGTATCTGGTCATGTAATTTATCTTTGGATGTTTGATCAGATGGCGGCGATGCTCAACTGGTGGCGAACTAGCAAGATTTCCGGAGAGGTAGGTGTCCGGGCTGCTGAGCCCCGATTGGATGGTCGTTTTGGATTGGACACGAGGTGCAGGGACCGCTGCTTTTCATCACCCTTTTCAGGTCTACGCAAAACACGCACACATCACTTTGCCATCGAGAACCTAGTGGACTCGGAAGTCAAACGAGACCATCAGAACTGGCTTCTCAAACGCCCACTGGATGGTCCGATGTCGGGTATCAACAGCCAATGGGGAAAAAGATCCAAAGCACTACTGAAAGCTGGATTCCCTGTTTCCGGTACATCCCAGCCAACCTTATCCAAGCATTTGGTTGCTGATAGAATCATGTCTCTGCTAGAGGCCCGGCGACAGATTCCCCGTGGATGAAACCACAACTTTACCCGTCGGATTATACGCTACCAGTTGGAACTGAGTGTCCGAAAGGCCGAAGAAATTAAAGATGCAAAAAATGCTGGGAACGTCTGCAAGCTGTTCCACTTGATTTGTTAGACTGGTCATCCGAAGTCTTATCAGTGAAATTATTAGGGAACAAAATGTCCCCCTGACATCCAGCAAAACTGAACTTTTGGACCGGTGTGCACAGTACTTCGAACAGCAGTTCAGTCGGTCACCTGCTACCTCCGATCTGGACTGCCGGTCTTCAACAGAAATGTGGACTGTGAATATAAAAGTAGCCTTCAACCTCTACTCAAGGGTTATCATGCTGGTGGTCGTGACGACCTTCCATGTGCTCTGCTCAACGATGGCGGTGGTCTTCGCAACCAGCGCCTATTCGGGACTATCTAGGAAAAAGAGACCTCCCGAGACAACTGCGGTGAATCCGTTTTCAAAAAGGATACTTCCACCGAACGTGGCAACCACAGAAGTGTTAATTTGACCCCTGCTGTAACAAAACTTCTAGCGTCGCTGATTTTTCATCTTTTTACGGTGGCACGCGAAACCTTGACCAATTAGCATCAAGTGGGATTTAGTCGGGGTAGAGGCTGTGTTAACCACACCTTCACATTCCGTCGGGTGTTGGAGCAACACCACATGTACATACGACCTACGATCTCGGTGTTCCTCGACTTCAAGTGTGTATTCGATTCTATCGATCGGTCAGTGCTGTTGACTACGCTTAATCAACGTGGTATGCTCCCAAACTTTGTGCTCCATATATTCACATACTTTTTGACGTGAGAGTGTATGATAAGCTTTCCAAAAGCTTCCTTGCAAAGAGCGATGTCCGACAAGGATGTCCGCCCTCTCCATTCTCGTTGAACTTTGCCATTGATGAAATAATGTGGCGAACGCTGGAAGGCCATCAAGACCCCAGTGGTCAAATTTTTGCTGGTGAGAACCTTGTGAATCTGGAATACGCCTCATCTTTGAAAATCAAGGCAAAGCACAAGCCCTGTTGCTGGTGAGAACCTTGTGAACCTTTGAAAATCAAGGCAAAGCACAAGCCCTGTTGAGTAGACTGACCACTGTCATACCATTTTTCGGCATGCGCTTTGCACCTTCTGAGTGCAGAGTCATGCTTTACAATGTAGTCTCTGAACATACCCTTTACAATTCAAGGCCAACATCCATTGTACAACTGAGCACGCTTTTTGATTATCTCCGAACCGATTCGCTGTCACCATTTTACACGAGTTGAGGGTGAGATGGCTCAACTGGTTAGATCGCGAATCTACTGACCGGAAGGTCCGTGGTTCGAACCAGACTTCTGTCTCTCTACTTCCTCTGTCTAGACTTAAGTAACCTGGCAGTATCCCAGCCATCGTGCTTTTACAAAGAGTGATGCCGACAAGGACGTCCACTTCCTCCATTCTGGTGAGATCCACAAGGTCCTCACCAGAAACAATTTGACCTTCCAGCGTTCGCTTCATTATTTCATTACTTCGGGGTGAGATGGCGAGATGGCCCAAGTGGTTAGAGCGCGAATTTTCTAACCAGAAGGTCTGCGGTTCGAATCCGGCCTCCGCCTCTCGACTCCCCCTGTCTAGGCTTGGGCAACCTGACAGTATCCCAGCTCTCGTGCTTCCTTCCGGTGGCATGGCAGCTAGGCACCGAAAGAGGTGCTACAGCTGGACGCTTGTGGATCTGGATCTTTGAGGACCTGACAGTATCCCAACTCTCATGACTCGTTCGGGTGGCATGGCACCTAGGTACCAAAAGGGTGTTAGAATTAGAAGATCTCACAGGAACGGCGGTTCTGAGACAACGTTTATTGAAGAAGTGAAGAGTCCTCGATTACGTTGCTTGCAGGGGCCAGGCATACAGCAAAACCCAAAATACGTCTTTTGAGATTCAGGAATACATTGGCTTGCTATCAGTTTGGCCATCGCGGCCTTCAGAGCCTCTGAGATTTGTGAATTGACATGTCACAATACAGTTGGAGCTTACACAACCTCCACGATGCGTAAAACACTCCACAACATTGAGTATCTCTCCTACGGTTGTAAGTGGCGTGGTAGATAACCGCAAGTGCAAGGGTATGAACTCACACTGTGAGTGCAAAGCGCATACCAAGGGAGGAGATGACTTTGTTTTGTTCATCCAAAGACAGCTCTGCCTTCCGAGAAATACACTAATTTGTAAATCAACTTGGTTTTCACGAGAGACTCAACTGAATCTCTCGTTTATGATATTCTACAACTGAATGTGCTACACACAGGCCGCCTCATGATTCAGTTGGCACGATATTCGAGATATCGCAGTATATTTTCATAAAAGAAACTACTCACAAGGTGGCTGAAAACTCTTAGGTAGCCCACGAACGGTTTCGCCCTTCTTGGGGCTCATCAGGTAGGCGCAGTTCCTGAGTTTCCGTCAACCTAATGTTCTACTTGAACCCAAATTGAACTGTTTTCGAGAAAACCAAATTGATTTACAAATGGGTCTATTTCTCGAAAACAGTCCAGTTTGGGTTCAAGTAGAACAAGGTCGACGGAAACTCGAGCTTTGCCTTCTTGTCGAAGACGGGAACGATGTCTGCATATCCCAGATCGACATGGTTTTCGTCACCAGTTATTTGAACATCAGGGTTTTGATGGCTTTTTAGCGTTCTTTAATATTTCATCGACCAAAAAATTGAATAGGAGTGGAAAAAGTAGGACTCCTTGCTGGGCCACTTTTTGTACGGAAGCTTTTGGAGAGCTTCCCCTACACTCACGCTGTTGGAGGACACCATGTGACCAGACAGTTTTTGCGGTAGTTAGTATGGACTGGCCTCTGGATCACCAGAAATGTGCAGCCGGAAGGGGGTGGAGAGCTATGGGGAAGTTAGCTGAACCACTGCGCTTGCATCTTAAATTATGCATGCGGATACACAGCATATCGGTGTCGAGCGATTCCATTGTGAGAGCAAGAGCCGATTTATGCTTGCTTCAAAGTGCGATCATTAGAAAGGGCCACAGAAACCGGCCGTTGAGGCTTGAAGATTGATTTTGAGCTGCCTGGAGCTGTCGACGCTGGTTGATCCACAAATGGTGCAGCCAAGGCCGGTAGAAGACGAATGGCCTCGTCAGTCTCAACGGATGGGCCTACAAGGCTGGTATTAATAGTGGGGTACGGGAGGGGGGATGACAAATGTCCCAATAAGTGATTTGACTGGGAGGTTTTCATTCAGACGCATCGTTGCTTTTTGACAAATGTCCAATAAGTGATTTGACTGGGAGGTTTTCATTCAGACGCATCGTTGCTTTTTGGTGAAAAGATATTTTGGGTCGAAAGTGCTGGGCATTTTTGGTGTAGATATTATCAGATGGAAGGTAGGAGGCTAATGGTATTAGGTGAGTTAGTGTGCAAAACCCTTCCGTGAAACACAAGCGACGATCTACTACGTAGTTTTTGAATCGCACATATGTTTAGCATCGTTGAGGCTTTGTTTTGTGGCAGGAAGAAGACGGAAGTCGAATGTTGCAGTAGTTGAATGGTAAACTTGTATGATCAGATTGGTTGTTTATCTTAATTCTGTGTGTTTGATTTGAAAACCGGCAACCCAGCCCAACATCTCAGGGTGGCGAATCACACGAAGCTCCTGTAGGTTCGGGAAGTGGTGTCTGTCTACTAGTATAGGAATATTATTTTTCCCCCCCCCCCTGACCTGACAAAGTCTTTCTGCATAGTATGGTATTTTTGGATCAAATGTGGATAGATATTCTCGCAACCATTGTTCGTCAGGATCCGACTCGTTTGCTACCTGAACTAAAGTCGTATTGATCATGCTGTCGACTGGCTCGTTGCCGCGAGGATCATGCATCCTGTGAATGGCACCAGTGAACTGTCCACATGATGGTGTCTGTCATACGAAACAGGGGAGTCTGAATCCTGCATGTTCGTGGCTCGAATGAACGCGAATCTTTAGGATGGATGACATGCCAACCGAAACGGCCCATCATGTTCAGACGGAACACTGGACTTTACTTTGTTGGGAGAATCCAGGATTAAGCTTCATGTCATTCGATAATCTACGAGCCACTGTGTAACTAGTGTGAAAAAAACTTGGGTACCTAACTAGGTGCCGATTTATGGAAACAAATGCCTCACGCAGAAACGACGATATATAACAATCAGCGGGATGGCCCAAGTCGTTAGAGCACGAATTCACTGACCGGAAGGTCCATGGTTCGAACCCGACCCCTGCCTCTCGACTTCCCCTGTTTAGGCTTGGGTAACCTGGCAGTATCCCACCCCTCGTGCTTCCTTCGGGTAGCATGACAGCTAGGTACCGGGAGGTGTTACAGCTGAGGGATTTTTTCAGAAGAGTTTGGTTTCTGCCCTATTCTCAGTTGACTCGCTTGATCCATACATGAAAAAATTATCGCTAGCGCTCGGTCAACCGTTTATTTTGTATTTTTACCCTGTTTGCTTAACGTTATAGCTCAGGTCGATAGTTTCTTCTTTTAATTTCTTCGAAAATGGAAACTGGAAGAGATCATAGTTGACACTTCTCCACATAATCACAGTAAGATGCCACTCTTTTATGAAACTTAACGGATTGGTAAAAGGCTCGCGAAGGACCTTTTTACATCCATTAAAGATTGCTCTCAGAGCATAACATTTTGTACATGGTTAATTTTTATTACCATGAAGTAACGCTCTTCACTGTATGAGGGACGATCCACTTCGTGTCCGACGGTGAAGCTGGAGTAATATCTGTCGGAGCGCTACAGTTAGTCGTGATGATTTGACAAGTCTCCGAGTCATCTTTAACCAATGGGTTGATCAACCGCCTTCTTTAAGTCTAAGATGCGCTTTGGGAACCGTTGTCTGATAGGATGTGACTGGAGGCTGGTGATGAAAGCACCAACTAGTTTTCGTCGGCTTTTGCTGTCTGAAAAGCACGATAACGAACAGGAGTTAACGAAAAAAAGAGAATCAGTCATGGTTTTTCCAGGTTCTTGTTTGTCAGTGGTCAACAAACGTGGCGTAAACATTAACTGTCTTAAGTCTGGAAATAGCGTCTTCATAAAATTCACACTTTGATGTGAGTTGATAGACTAAATGTGATACGTAATGGACTGAACAGTCAATTATATGGTGGTCAGCTAGCAACATAATTTAAGCGTTGAAAGTACAAAACCAATCATCCCATTGCTAGGCAGCGGGACCATCGTAGGAACATTGTGAACGGAGAGACTGTTCTATTTCCGATAATTGTCGAGATGAGTGACTTGTTGTGACCTGGAAATACAGTTGGGTGCAACAGACCTCACGTGGAGTCACAAAACTAAACCCTCGGAGAGCAAGCTTCAATCATCTCGGGTATCGATTACAGAGGCTGAAATAGGGAACTGCTATAATGTGCGGGGTGTGTGAAATTTATGGGATGGGAAATGTGGTGGTAATACAACAGTAGGCTTAACTCGTAGCCATGCAGAAATCATGTGCAGGTCTCTGAAGCCTTTTAGTGCACCTAGGACACAGTGCTGTACCATAAAGTATCGGAACATGACCACAACGACAGTCTTGCTTGATGTCCAAGTGTAGTAAGTGCCAATCCATATGTTGCGAATATCTCAATGCTGACGTTACCTCTCTCACTGTACTGAGCTATCTATAGTCTGGACAGTGCGACTACTGTGAATATTTATTCAATTTTTCATTTTTTTTTCACTCATTTCATCTTCATTCGGACAGCACGTGCATAACCCTTCACTACCTTTAAAAGCAAATGCAGTGGTCTCTCTGTGTATTTTTTCTATTATGTCGGGGTACCCAGCTTCGCTCGGCTGATCGAACAATTTTACTCCCTTTCCGATGGTTTTTGTTATTAGAGGGAAGTAACTATGCTGGTAGTCGTACCAACAATGACACTTCGCTTGTATTTCAGCATTCACCATGGTGGCACTGGAATTCATCTCGCAGCTGGACAAACTGCGTTTCGTCGACTCTGTTGGCCTAGATGATTTTGCCGACCGCTGCTCATATTTGTTGTCTTTCGTCCTATTGATATTATGTTTCACCATTGTTACTCTGAAATCGTACGTGTTCGAACCACTCTCTTGCTACATACCCACTTCATTTTCCGGATCAAACCTCGGTCCCTATATCAACGCTTTCTGTTGGGTCAATGGTACGACCCCAATAAGTGTAGAAACCGATCGTTTGGATGATCAAACTTACTGGAACACTTTGGAGGACAAGAAACTAAGTAGGTTGATTTTGCGGCCCGTAGTGAATTCCTTTTCATGGTATGTAGTTTGAGCTGTCATTCCGGGATTCCTCATCAACTCTGAAGCCACATTCAGGCACATGGTCTCATGTACTATGTCTCCGTGACTTTCCTTTCGGAATAAGATGTGATGATTCGTCTCAAACTGAGACAGTTGTCAGTAAGCTTGGTCGACTAACCCCATGTTTATGTGTAGGTTGCTAGCTTGCACACCGGCCGGCTTACTGGTTGCTACTTGGCATGCTGGTACTCTTCCGTTATATTGTGCACAGGACGCAAATTCAGATCGATCTGTAGGTGTGCATAGTGGTATCTTTGTAATAAGTTGCGCACTTTCTGTTTGACAAACAACTGTTTACGGATTAACTTGGATTCACAGAGTTCGAGTTAAGGTCATAAACCGTGGCTGTCAAGTAAGCGATTCAGTTCCACATGCATCCAGCTCTGTTTGCCTCTGCTACGAGTCACCGGTTGGTGAACTGATAGATCAAGCGGTGTTGTTTATTTCTGGACTGCGCATTACATGGAGATATCAAAGATGAGTTTTCCTGATCTTATTTTATAACCAGGATGTTGAAAACATGTACAAGCTTCAGTTCTTCACGTGTATAATTTACCGTAGATCATTCCCATAGGAGAATCACTCAATCAGTCGCTACTTGGATCGGTCGTCTTATTTTTTCAGGAATCGACTTACCTGACGGTACAAGCATCCTCGTTGCCGGACAGTGGCCATCAGTATATATTTCCTAGGGAGGATATAGGGGGAACGTCCATTGTTTGTTTCACTTAGTTCCCACAGAGAAGTGTTCAATTTCCGTAGGCCAGTGTCCGCTATTTTCCGTTCTTTTTTTGGACTTTGAAGTCATTGTTATCCCACTTACTGTGCATAATATACCGAATAAACTAATCCTCGTATGGTTGTCATTCGACTTGAATTACGAGGATTGAGATACTTCCGAGTTTCCCATACCTAGACAAAAAGTAGGAAAGTCCGGGAACTGCCACGCGCCTGCACCTTTCAATTGTCTACATTTCTGCTTTGTTCTACTTTGCTTTGTGGCCATTTTCTCCTGGTGGAGGAGGAGTCGCTTCCGAGGATACTTCGAAGCATGATCAGAAGCTAGGTCCGAGCACAACGTTATTCACTTGTTGTTTCCGTTTTTTGATGTCGTGGACATGCAGATCCAGTGGTTCAATCTCCTGCGTAATTGCCGAGAGCCCAGTTTTCAACTGTCCTCCGGCGTGACAGCGCCATTTTAGTCACAGCAGTGGTTTCGGGGATTTCGGACAGTTCAGAGTCTAGTTTGCGGAAGACATGTGCTAACCAGTGTGGTTGACGTTGCTGGATCAGTTTGAAGGAGCGTAATATATTATAACAACGTTCTCTGGCAGTGTTATTTTCGATCCAGCGCATTATTTGCTGTGACCACCAGTGCTCAGCTACTTCTAACCCGCGAAGAAAATCAGTTCGGTGAGGCCAGGTCTCACAGGTAGATATGTGTATGTTAGGACGAGTTGGGTGGCAGCAGTGTATACACTTTTGAAGGTCCGTTGATTTCTGAGCCTTTTCTTAGAGCTTTGTGAGGTCTGCCTGGCGTTGTCGATACGGAAACGTATTTCTTGCCGTGGTTTGTCATTCAGGACGATGGTGGCAGCTAAATATTTGAAAAAGTTTGCTCGGTTCATCGGCTCTCCGTCGACGTCGAGCTGGCTTGACTGGACGTCCGTTCTTGTGGTGGAGTCTGTTCCTTTCGGAATTTATCTCCAATCCAAACACTGAAGCTTACTGGCTCGTACGATCAAGGGATATTTGCCGAGGACATGGAAGGGTTTACGAGTGTTCAATGGAAGTGGCTCGGAATAGGTCAATGTAATTTTTACTTGTAAAAATTAGCTTATCGCTTCCCGTAAAACGAACAACAACTAATTTCACAGAAGTGGATGAGTAAATAGTTTCTTATGGAGGAGTTTGCCTAATCGCATGGTGGATTGGTATCATACGTTATCCGCCACAGGCACATTCTGGTCACCGGGGTATTTCATCACCACGTATCTGTCAATTGTTTTGCTCTCACTCTTCATGGGTCAGCTAATTGTATTCTGTTGGTCTCAAACTATTCCATTCTTCCGTAATTCTAATTCCACAGATTATTATCAATGGGTATCGCTCGTTTTGGCTCTCCAAGCCATTCTGTGCTACGTGCCACGCCTGGTTTGGGAGACTATCACATTCAATCGTGTGGGAACCAATTTGGGTTTTCTGCTGGAATCCGCTCAGGCCGCCGCCAGGGAGAGCGGAAAAGAACGTGAGCAACGTGTTCAGTTCATAGCCAACGTGATGGATACGCTATTGTTCGCGCGCCGTGACCTGCGAAAACCGGATGATCACTCAGTCACTCATGGCACCATGTATACCTTAGCTCATGGAATTCGTGATCTTCTACCTAGAAAACGGCTGGGCACTGCACTGGCGAGTTACTATATGTTTGTTAAGTTCCTGTACTTGTTCAATGCCATTGGGCAACTATTACTGATGCAGCACTTTTTGGGCGCACGTGGGCGATACCAGCTGTTCGGTCTTAGCATCCTAAGCGATTTAGTCGCTGGACGCCAATGGAACGAGACGAGTGTGTTTCCTCGTGTCGGCTTCTGTCGCGTACCAATCAAATTAACAAGCACACCTATCCCTATGGTCACCGTACAGTGTACGCTACCAGTGAACATGCTAAACGAGAAGGTATACGTTTTCCTCTGGTTTTGGTTCGTGTTTGTTGCCTCTTTGGAGATCGTGAGTGTATTTGTGTGGATCTACCGTTTGGCAGCCCGCCAATCTCGTTTACGCCTTTTGGTCCGATACTTGAAGATTGCTGATGCCTACGATGAAGGCATGGATCCTCTTCTCACCCGTTTCGAAATGACCTTCCTTCGACTGGACGGCAGTTTCCTCTTGCAAATGATGCGTCTGAATGCAGGCAGTCTAGTAACCCAGGAGATCTTGCAAGCCATGCTCAAACGCTACACACAACAGGAGGAGTACGCGTTGGCCCAACAACGGAAGAAGGCGAAACCACAGTATACTGCCACAGATCATGTGGACCAGGATAAAGCCGCTTTGCTGTGTTCCTCTGAGTCCACCGATTGTGCCGTTACGAAGCGCTCCGAACCCATTTGACGTGTACGGTCTTGTAATCGTTTAAACTTTTACTTCACGCCCCTCATCGTTATTCTATAATACCTCCATTTTTTATCCTTATCCCGTATCCATGTGGGACGGATGGATTCGAATGTGCAACTCAGGGACATATTTTTTATCCACTGTACTTATCATTCACCTTTGTACTACTCCTTAGTGTTTTCTGATGCAATTATATCGGTGTGTATAAAAAATGAGCATGGTCGCGTGTTTTATCTCTGAATTGTTCTCCTACAAATTGGTAGCTCCTGTTGCCTTTCTCAAGACAGCTTTTGGATTGGCTTCAATTCTTCTGCTGTATTTTCTGACTAATGTATTCCTAAATGCTTGACAAACCGCATCAACGTGGCTCAAATTCTCCAAGCATATGACGTGGAATTCAGTGGATATTGTGTATCGATTCAACCGAATGTATGGCTATCATCCGCTGTCATGAGTGTGCTGCCATCCCCTATTGGGTGAAATTGTTAAACTTTGTCGCTTGAATAAGGCTGGTTCAGGGAGTCTACATAATCAGCTTAGGTGGTGCACATCAACGCATTTACTGTTTTTAATTGCTTTTCGCACTTAAATTTCCAGCCCACTAGTTCCTACCTCAGCATTGATGATTTTTTCTGTAGTGTACGCGCGTGTATGAGCGGTTCATTAAGCTCAGTTTTTCGACGCACGGCACTAGTATGGGTTGCCGCAGCGTTTAGCTGTTGATAGCGTGAAAGCGAGAGTGGAATTGGTCGAGGTAAA